TTATTTCTAATTTTTAAAAATATTGAATTCTAAAAATATTGATCGTTATTTTTTGTTATCCATACGAACTTGACTAAAGATAAAAAACACTTTATACAATCTGTATTCTCATCTTATGCTGACAATGAATATCTTATATGCTTATAAGATCGAATATGCTTATAAACTTACGTAAATTGACGTACAATAGATTTTTCTCATTAGATATGTATATCGAATGTAATAAAATTTATACGATGCGTTGAAAGTGGAACATATATATAGACTGTCACAATCCGTTAATCGAGTTAATCTAAAAATGGTCGAACGCGATGCGAGGAAAACAGTTTTTATTCGCGTAGATGCCGAAAGAGACGCGATAATTTCATTAAAATTACGTACCGCAAATAACGCCGGGAGGTATGTGGTGTCATACGTCATTAACGCTCTCGTCACGAACGCGTGCGTGTTGCGCACGCGTGTCCGTGGCACGTAGATGGAAATGGGAGAGATGGTTTAAGCATCGCGCGCGTGTGTTTTTGCCAGCCAGTGGCTGGACCACGTGCGTGAAAATACGTTCATATGAAATTCAACGCGGACGTCCCACGAAAATATATTATTATCGCCCGATGCCGAGCGGGAAAAATATTTTGACATTTCTACGCTTAAAATCGTGACAAATGCGCTAAGCCGCGATTTCAAACACTGACAATGAGAATAAGGTGGATCCCTTACCCGTGTGCCAAAAATTGAATTAATATTCAATTTTTCTATGTCTCATGAAAAATACTTTCTCATTCTCTTTAATAGTTAAGCAAAAAATTAAATAATGCAATTGTTATTTATAAATTATAATAACTTATTTATTTGGGTTACATAATTTTTCTGAAATTTTATTTTACACACACATATATATATATATAATTTTATTAATATAATTACTTTTTTTTAAGTTGATTTAGATCTGTATTATTCTTAAAGTGATTCATTTGATATAATATATATAATATATAAAAAGATAATATAAATGTAAGTTAATTATGTACGATTTAAAAAAAAAATGCGAAACCGAGATCAAGATCCATCTGCGCGAAACGTTATGAAGAATCGCACAGATTATATGGATTACGAAGAGAGGTAGATTTCCACGAACGAGAGCGCGAAACCGCTGCTAAACACACTAGCCTTCGTCCAGTTTCATTTACATTTTCACTTTTATCCTTATTTTCATACGCTTGTTCTGGCTTCTACAAACAGGTAGCGCATTTTATACCGTTGCACCTGAGGCCTACGCGAGTTTTTCGCATTTTTCCCGATGTGGCAAATGTGTGCCGCGCGCACTGACAAGTGTTGATCTCGAAGGAGAGGCGGTGACCTCTTCGCGTCCGGTGTTACGGCCAAAGATTACCGCGACTCTCGCGCACGAGATCACGTATGTAAATGGTAATTATCGGGTTCAAGCGCGCGCTGGAAAGATCAATTAGTTATGCCGCGAGGAGAACGTTACGTACACGTGTGTATACGTTACGTACGTACGTACGTATATATGTAATCTTGCGCCTTCCGAGATTGATCGATTAGGCGAAAAGAGCGCCGCGAATAATATTGCGAGAAGAAGTAATACGCAAAAAAAATTATACTAGGAAACGAATCGCGCAGTCCTTCGCAATTATCTGACAGCAAATCAGCTGCGAGTTTATATTCTCGTGTGTCTCCTTTAAAGAATTCAATCGATGCAAAAGACGCGTGGTGAATTCACACAGTCGGTGTAAAATTAATACATAATCCACGCGCGAGCAGCGTATGTGACGAAACTGGTATCGTTTTAAAATTAAAATTGCGCGCATATAATTAACATTCGCAAATTTGAATAACGCCGTCTCCGAAAGATTGAAAACTAATTGTAAGCTGGGCAAACATTATGACATACGCAATCGTCTCATAAGAAGACAGTTTTTCAATACGAACGTAACACTCAACACACGTGAGGCAAGCAGCTAGAAAAAGGCAAATTACTAGGTAGAACGAGTGAAACGATACAATGTGAATAAGTAGATAAATCCATAATAATGGCGAATGAAACTTGCATAAACTCGGAAATGGCACCTGTTTTCACCTGTCTCGCATGTCTGATTATGGGTTAGACTAGTATGTTGTAGCTTATCGATTACGTAACACCGCGTGCTGGAAAAATTAAGCAGAAAAGAAGGCTGCTCATAATATCAACAGAATATATTTGTAATATACATAAATAATAAATAATAAAACGCGTTGGAAATTGAATAAAATTTTAAATGTTACATAACTGTGGCGTTCTTTTCTTTATCAGTAAAATTATTCAAATTGCATCGCGTTAAGTATACGTTTGTGCCTTGAACTTTGATGCTGCGCTCAATATTATACTTGTTACACGAGTGATTATGTCGCAACAATATCACTTGATGATCATTCCGATTACGCGCAAACGTTGATTCATTTAATCACTCCGATCTAGAATAACAAAATATTGACTACATCTAAAGAAAATTTTTTAATGATTTTAATTATAAAATAAAATATTTAAAAATCTGTATTTATTTAATCATATTTCTTATATTATTGCGATATTAATAATTATATGTCAAATTTAATGTACTAAATTATTGTCATCCTACTAGATAATTTAAAATAAACTATAATA